CATTACGAATACCAGCTCTCACTCATCTATTTGCAAATGTTCATTCAATTTTCTCCCCTGTCCTTCATTCYTTGTGGAACAGGAGCCTTGCCAAGGTTGTTTGATACAGAGAACACAGCCCTCTGCAGTCTGTAGCTGCTGCACATTTACTGAACATTACAGGAGTGTTTCAAAAATKTAATTTATTATTTATATGTGCCAAAGCATCAGCTCCACACTGATGGGCATAGGTTTAGCTAGCAGCATCCAGTGTTTTTTCCTCTGTGTGGTCAATGCAGTGGAATAGTTCATTTTGGAGAGCAGGACCCTTGAAGTGTTGTATGGAGCAGGAGATTAATCACTGCCCTGAKTGGATTCAGGTCAGAGCTGGAGCTGCTGCTGTTACGCTGTAGAAGATTCAGTTGGTGTTCTTAGCTAAAATACAGCAAATAATATAACTGTTAACTTCAAAGGCAGGGAAAGGTGTACAGCAATTGGAGAGGAAGGATGGCACCTGGATCAAAATGGAAAGGAGTAGAAAAATTACCTTTACTGCCTCTGGAGTGTAGGCATGGGGTGTTCAGGAAATGGCCTTCATCAGCATTATCTAATAATTTTCAGATTTTCTTCCAGAAACTCAATATAATTTTAATCAGTTTAAATTTAAGATCTCCCTGGYCTTAAGAGTTCCATTGTTTTTGTAACAGTAACGTATGTACAATGAAATATTTAAAAGAAGTCTGAAGGAAAAATAATTCCRGTTCTTTTTAACCCACAATCTATTGTGTATGTTCTCTTCAATGAAGATTCTTGGTATTTGTTTTATAGAGGAATTCAAAATATGGAAAAGATACTATCCAATAACACAAGTATGAAAAGTTGCAGCAATTGGTTGTTGTTTACTTASAATTATTTTTTCTGAAATTTAACATTTGCTAGACCTAGAAATGTTCTTTAGAATGCCAGAGTCGTACCCAAATACATTATTCAGCTTACTCTGCACGAGTGGGTGAGCTGTAACAAGAAATACTATCCACATCCCTCTTGGCATAAAATATATGCATATGCAACAGTGTAATGGCTTTAAATGTTTTTCTCTTACAACTCAGCTATTTTTGGTAGAATCATCCAGGATAAATTTTACCTAATATCTACCAACAGGGCTTCAGYGAATAAAAATTTTGTAAGTGTTCAGTGATAGAAAATAGGAATACAACAGCACTATAGAAATAGCTTTAACATCTATGTGCTGATGACCCCTATTCTGTGTAACAACTCTTTTTACAGCAACTCCTTCAGAATTGCTCACAGGACCATGAAGTCAAGTCAAGCATTTCTGTGTGGTACCACACCTCCCAGYTTCACTTAATGACCAGTGTAGTTCAAAATACCCTGATGAACAGCTAACAGTTTCGATTTTGCTGGGCTTTTTCCCCCTATGACAATAGATATCAGATACTCCAAAAGTGGTTTTAGCCTCTGCCATGATGACAGGCGGGATGCCACAAGGAAAGGGAGTGAAGTGTCAGTTCTCCATGCCCCGGTGGACTGGAGAGCTGGGGTAGCTGCAGAATAATAATGKGCTGCCCTCCTACAAATGCCTCTCTGGGGCTCCTGGGCTGTGTGGCCGTGTGTGAACAGCATTCAGATTTGCCATCATCCTGAAATGTTGTTATCTCTGTACAAAGTGCCGATATAATGATGAGGAAATGCAGAATCAGGAAATGCAGGAATCAGTACTGCTGTGAGTAGTGAGTTACGTGTGCTGCAAGGAGCTGTTTCTTTATCCAAGGAGATTTTGCCTTCATTTAGCTCCCTTAATTGGTGGATTGTAAATTCCCTAACTTTTTCTCATCATGCAGAGCTGGAATTTTTGCGGTTGATTTTGAGGCCAAAGTAAAAGTCTTCAGCACAGCTATTGAARAGCAACAAAATTTGTGCTTCACATAGTAAGAGGGGGAGGGAGGAGGATATAAATTGTTAATWGACACTTGGTTTAGAAATTCCCTTGTCCTTTTACAGGGAGCATCATCCCCTCTTTCCATAGGTGAAAATCTGTGAAATATCAGCAATGTTCCAGGCGTGCCACACCCCAGCAAAATTTTATTCTTATTTCTTTAAGCTAAAACCAGTCTTAATCTGTGTGAAAGATCCCTGGGCAGAAAGTTCAGACATTCTCAGAAGAAGAGTATGCTAAAAAGGAAATCCTATACCTCCAGAGCTACCASATAACTGATTCTCTCTTAGTGAAACAGGCATTCCTTCCATGCATCAAAATTAAGAATTGGAGACAAGTTAAAAGTGATGTCTTACTAATGGGAGGGCCAAACTGATAAATTTGCTAGGAAATATTAAAAAAAAAAATCTGTATCCAGCTCAGCTAAGTAATAGAAAGATCCATCAATAATTGAAAGGGGTCAGCCCCAAAGTGTGAGTAGTAAGAACTGCAAAAGCAAAAATACCTAGGAATAACCTAAGAAAGTTATATATTAAAAAAAAAAAAAAAGGTAGTAAGAATGAATACATTGAATATCAACAAAAAATGTTAGACCAAGAAGTAGCTCTCTAAAGAGAGGGCTTGCAAGCATGACAATTGCAACTTAGGTTTGCTCCATGGTTTTGAATTCCTCAGATTTGTAAGTGAATAGGGCAAAAATACTAAAAAGGATGTATTTCAATGCGTGGTGCAATCATGTGTTGAAGGTACATGATGGGAATGATCCCTTCTGGCTCTTCAATCTCTTTTGTGCCCCATGCACTTTAACTGAGGCTCACTGTGATCTTATCTATGAAATGTAATATCTTCATGGGAACCCAAACTGTGATATTATCRGCTCTGCTCTGAGGATCTTACATATACCACTTCATCACAGATATTATTGACAGTAAGTGCTTTTACCACTTTTATATATTCTCTTTGTGAATTGTTTTACAGCAAGGCAGCTAAATCAAGAGAATTTTTCCTGACCAGCTGAGCAGCTGATAAGTCTCTTTACAAGCACTTAGGTGAATTCAATGCACTAGGATGATAAAAAGGCAGGTTAGGACAAAAGCAGGTGTCAAAACATAACCCTCTGCCCTTGCCATCACCTCAAAGGTTATGCCCCACACRTAAAATTACTTGGGTTTTGAACCCCACTTTTCCTTAATTCTTTTGTTCAGAAAGCCCATCTGATCCTTTTCAGGATTCATTTGCCCACTTCTGATCTTCTGCTTTTGTCTCCTGTTTCCCTCCCTTGTTCTCCACACATCATGATCCTTTTTCAGGCTGAGTCATTATCCTTTTGAATTCTCCTAGGAAGGGCTTTTTTCTCAGTCATGCTATTTCTTACTCAAGTGGTGCCTGTGGGAAGATCAGAACAACCCATGCTAGGAAGAGCTCTGTCAGTGACGGTGTCCACAGGACAAGCATACAAGCTGTATTGTTTGTTAACTGCAAATTCACCTCTATCCCTTATTCCCTGCCTGTTTAGATAGACCTAAACCTCCACTGAGGAGAGAAAAAATAATTCTTGACTATTTTCAGAGCCTGAAGATAAAAAGTGACCCAGTCCTGCACTTGTATTTGTGTGTGTGCACTTTGAAAAGAATTTTCTTTATCCTGCGAGTCCTATGGAGTCCACAGATAATACGGCTYCCTTCCTGCTCCAAAATCTGCACAAATCCTCCCCCTGCCATGCCTGCAGATGGAAATAGGAAATATTCCCTTGCCAGGCCTGCAGTAAAAAGGAATGTGTCCCAAATGCAATCATTCCTTGTGCACTACATCTTGTGAGCAAGCAGACGGTGTGGCTTGCTTCAGTAACTTTTATATGTAAACAGTCTTTAAAAACATAATCTACATTGTCAAAGCCTAATCTAAATGATGTACTGACATTGCTTGCTTTGATATGCTGGCTTGGTTTTGAATTCTCCVTGGATTGCCTGGCCCCACATGGCCTTTTTGTGTTTTGTTTACTTTTCACTTAGCTGTCACGTATTTATTCCCATTAGATGTACAAAGTCAATGGATTCAGCCTAGTTTTACAGCTTAGTTGGCTAATACAGCATAGGGAAAACGCTGAGTGAAGCCAGGCAGAGGGACAGGAAAAAAAAGCAGCTTGATTCTTCAGGTCTGACATAGAGACCAACAAAAGAGAAAACTTGTAAAAGATCTGGGTCTGGTAGTGCAGCTAGAGATTACTGTATTTTCAGAAAAACRTGATTTGTCTGGAAAGCAGAAATTCATTGAAATGGGGAAAGATTTGTTTAGACTGAATTTTTTTTTAAAGACTTGCTTCTGAATAAATGCTGTAMATTTGTATGCAACACTTATATTTAWTTTTTTTTTATTTAAATCTGGATTTGTTTCAAATGTGACGTGATTGGAAAATGTYACTTTAAAAGCTTTTCAGTGTAATGAGCTGGTTGGATTTACCTTTATCAAACGGTTAAAATGGCTTACATGATCTTGCTCTATGAAAGTCTTTGAAGATAYTTGAAAGTGTCTCATGCTGAGAAAAGTAATCCCAAAAAATCTGCTTGGTGTGACCTTACCCACCAAAGCCATAAGACAAATGTGTGTTTGTGAAGTCTATCACAACTGGAAGCATGACTGAAWTGTGGGCCATCTGGAACAATGTTCTTCCCTCTGGATAGCCATGCCTACCCTCCCGTGCTTCTCCCAATGGGAATATCTACATTCCCTCTAAATCCTTGTTTTTCAGCTCAAAGGAAAAACGGGGGGATTCCATGTCGGATTTAGCATTGGTGGAGGAATCATGGTGTTTGCCTTGTTCAGTGGAAAGCGACAGGCACTGTTTCACTGATGGCACGTTGGTTTTGGGTCACATTTCTTCAGTGTAGCCCAGAAGCTCAGCCCAAGTCCTTCATGGCACCACACCCTTGGTGGTGGCAGCAGTTGGGCACCCAAATTCCACTTTCCTTAAAGAACAGACCATGCTGAAACTGCCCCATTTCTGTTGCACTGACCTTTYGGAGTTGGCAGCCCACAGTCTGAGCTTCTCCTGTGTTTCTTGCAGGTGAAATACGGGAATTATGCCTTTGTGTGGGACGCAGCAGTGCTGGAGTACGTGGCCATCAACGATGCCGAGTGCTCTTTCTACACAGTGGGGAACACTGTCGCCGACAGAGGATACGGGATCGCCCTGCAGCACGGCAGCCCCTACCGAGACGCCTTCTCACAAAGGTAAGGCTTTGCAGCATCAGGAGCAGGTATGAATGGAAGGTTTCTCTCAGCTCTGGACCCTTCTTTTAATTTAATTTTCGGTGAAGGGAAAACATCTTGTATTTGCAATCCATTTCTTGCATAGGCATTCRTTTTCTCTGAGACACTGAATTATTCACTTTTCTAGAAAGTGCGTTAAAAACACCTAATGTTGGTCTTATTTGAATTGTTCTTGTTTCTTTTGAAAACCATTAATGAGATAAACTCAACTTCATTAGCAGGAAAATGAGGAAAGARAGGCTTCATTTGTTATAGAATCAGCATAATGCAACCCTTCCTGCAGTTTCTTAAAGAAAAATAAAGTGAATTTGGACACTGATGGAAAAACTAAAGGGGATGAACAAGAATGTTTGCTGTTTTGGTGAAAAGACCTCTTTTAGTACCCAAAATCATAGATGTTTATCCCAACACTGATCAATCTCTTAGGCTACAAAAGTGACATCTCTTGAGATGCTACTGGTACTGCGTTTCTATTATGATCAAAAATATTACATTAATTTTATGTATYGTGCCTTTGCAGTACTTACGCTTTGCTCCAGTATTGGTTCCTAAATCAGGATAGGTGTGAAACGTAAAAAAAGTACCAAACCTTTTAAAAGTGTAATATCTGCAGCTTGGCACTTAGGAGAAGGCATGAGCTAATCTGATGATCCTTTTTACATTCTGAATCCGTTCTCTCAGCCTGATTTCTGTTGGTTTGTGTTACATCCATGAAGCAAACTTTTACAGTTTCTGCAATGGAATTTCTGTTATGTGGTTGTCAGGTAAAMATAAAAAATGAGCTTWATTTGGGCAGTTGCCTTTGCCTTCAGTCCAAAGACTGAGGTGGGGKGAATGTAGCCAATGAGTAACAGTGTGCAGATCCAGAGGAATCACTCTCTGCTCACATCTGCTGCACAACAGACTTGGATTCTTTGAATCTGTTCCACGTTGGGAGTGATATGGCAGAATATGCTAACATATCAGCAACACAATAAAAAAGTTCACAGCATCTGAAAAAAGTTTAATTTTAATGAAACATGCACATGCTTTGTATATTGCAAAGAGCATTACAGGCAAATATTTACCAAATACTGTAATACTCTCATATTGCAGCTGTGACCAGRCTGTCTCTGTTTAAAATCTCTGGCACTCTACTGTTTGAGGTCTCTATGCAAAACCAAGGATTCCTTCCTGTAATCTTTTGAAGAAATTCTTCTGCCTGTKAGAGTTCTCAGGTTCTCAGGTGCTTGTCAAGGTGTTAGGTCATCCTGTTCACAGCCTTGTCCATGTAAGCTCAAGTACAAAAATTGGAAGACATTGGGGAATTTAATTGTCTGTGTCTTTATTAYTAAACACAGTGAAATCCCAAGTGACATGGCAGAACTCACACCCGCGTTCTTCCTGCCCACCACTGCTGCTCTGCAGGTCCAGGTGGATGCATCCAAAGTGCCCCTTAGAAACTGCTCCTGACAGTGTYTATCCACTGGGCATAGCCCTTGGCATGTGGGGAAAGGGGTTTTGCTAAGAGAGTTCATTCTTTGTGGCAGTATTCAGCACATGGAGAGGYTGGATTACAACTTCTTCTCATCCACTGCCTTCAGCGATTCCCAGATCATTGGGCTGTGCAGGCCTGACATTTCCAAGTACAATTTTATTTCATAAGAAAATTTCAGCTTTTCAGTGTATTATTATATCTTGGAGCTATAGGAAAGCAGAAAGAAGCATAAAAATTTGCACATATATAGGTATTTTTATCTGAGGATCTCYGGAGCAATACTTAAATATTAGCATCTCTCAGGAAAGCAAATGCCATTTCCACTTAATGCTTAGGGAATCCATAGCATCAGGAGACTTAAATGAAATCCCAAGGTCATATGTTGTCCCCTGGTGGAATCAGGGATCATAGGCACTCATTTTTGATTTCCTGCTAAAGTTGTCAGCGTTCAGGTAGATGAAGAAAGGGATTATTAGTCAGATATTGGGCCACAGGAGGATCTGGATGGATGCACAGAACTTAGCAGTGGTGAGAAAATATCTTATTGCATTAGCAGGAGTAATGGTTGAACACACAAATTGGAATTTGCTTGGAGTGATACTAGCTTCTGGAGAATTTAGAGAGCCTGAGATATATATTCTGAAAATAACTGTGCTGCTGTGCTTATATTCTTATTTCTGTATTATGAGAGCACATTTTATACCATTTCTAATTATACCCATAAACATAAATTTACAGTTTAAAGCAGTGAAAGACCATATAAAAAACAAATATATGATAGAGAAATCATGCTTACAAGGTAGCTTACAAGGTTTTGTTCTTAATACCCTTCTGTACTGTTCCTTAAGTTTACATCCACGTGGTTTTCACACATCACCTTACATTTCTTTGTAATGAAAAGGTCCAACAACCTTCAGCAGCTGCAGCCTGCATGCTAAATAGAAAGAGGAATAGATTCATTGTATAGGATTAGCAAATGTTCACATTAATATTTCACATTTTTAATGCAGTAGGGAACTGATTTAAAATATATTGGCACTTCTTGATCTTTCCCAAAATAAATAYATTTGTGTGCAAATACAGGTCTTCTCTTTTAAGAGATTTCATATAAAGTCATAAGCTGCACAGTGTTAAATCCCCAGGATGCAGCTGCAAAAGGTCTGGCAAGCTTACAGGAGATTTTGTTCTCTGTGCAGGAAGCACAGGCTGCATTTAAAGCTTTTGAGTACCTTTTCTGAGCATTCAGGTGATTCCCAGAGAAACAGGAAAAGAGACACAGAGGTATAAACTCTCCTTCTCTCTAAAGCTAYGGGGCGTGGGTTGCAGTCAAGGTAACACTGAGGTAAAGTTTACCAACAGAAAGCAGTGTAAAGAAAGTGGTCTTTGAGAGCCTTCTTTTTCACAGACAGAAAAACCCCTTCTACACCAAAACAAAAGCGTGAGCAGCAGTGAACGGCCGGGCTGYGGTACGAGATTGGCTTTTTGCTGCATGGGGATGGCAAAGCAGCCAGCTGGGGTCCCACACAGCATCCGTGAGCAGCCCCTGCCTAATGCTTCCTCTGAAAACAGAGGCTTTGGGTCCATCCTGATAGTGGTTGTGTGGCTGTAACACAAATAACATAAAAAATAATCTTGGTAGCTTTTGAAAGGTGGACCTGCCATAGCATCCTGATGAGTCCATTCACGTTGTTGCAGATGTTAACAAACACAGCTGGCCATGCCACCAGGGCAGCCAGGTGTGCTCAGGGAGGTCTCTGTCCTCTTTTCTTTGTCATGAAGACTTCACCTTCTGAGCACYAGCAGCCTCCAGGCAGCGTGTCAGTTTTCTCTCTACATGTATTTTTCTTTCAAGGTAATGACAGGGGCTGTAATAATAGAAAGTGCCAAATTTCCTAGGAGAGCTTGAAAAGGATGTGTCTTTTGGTTCATGAGGAACTGTGTGGTGACACTAAATTTGACACCTGTTAAGAATCCTTTTCAGCCCTAAACTTTAAAACTTCCATTGCACCCCTGGGAGGCATAAATCTAATTGCAGACGCTTTTCAGAGTATTTTATAGGATGTCTGTGCTTCCTGCAGGGCTGCAGCAATGGCTCAGGCGCTGAGCTGGTGGCTGCCTTTTGGTGGGGGTTAAGGACGGGTRGCAGCAAAGTGTTGGAATCCTGTTCATGTCCCCACTTCTCTGCTGGCTGACTCTCTTCTTCTGCACTACAGTCCCAGCCACACAGCATGCTAGAGGCAAAAGGAGAGGAAGCACCAATTTTGTGCTCAGCAGAGGCCAGCAGCCAGCTTTTCACTTAAGTAACTTAAGGAACTTTCCACTTTTCACTTAAGGAACCTAAACCACTGAAAAGTCAAGCCATGCTTGTTCTGCACTCCTCATATGCCAAGAACATCCATGTGTGTTCTACCCCAAAGACTTTAGTTTTAAGTAAAAGGAAACAGTGACAATAGGAAGAATTTAAAATAAAAAAAAAAAAAGGCAAGCTTGCTCTCAGGGCCCACAGCATGGGACTCTTGCTTATTCACCAGCTGTGTTTCTGCAAATGCACCACCCCAGCCAAGCACAAGCTCAGGGACACCTGAAGTTGCCTGCCTGCCAAAAGAAGCAGCAGCACTTCCGTAATTCCTGGTGGTTGACTGTGGGAGGTGGGGTATGTGAGGATAAAATGTGTGGAAGGTACAACTACCATAAYAGCTTCTGCAGAAACCTCGGTCAGTATTTTACTATATTCACAAAAAGTCACTGCAAATTTGTGCTGCTGCTAGAGAAGCTAATGACATCTTTTTGTCCTAAGGGGGAGATGAAATGGGCATTTATAATGATTTCCTCATGGCAAGCCCAAAGACACCTCCCCAGCAGCAAGTGGTGCACTTTCAGATGTCCAAAACTCTGGAGGGAAAGAAGAGAGCCATAGTATGATGTTTCAGACTGTCCCCTAGCAAATCATTAATAAATGCTTTAAATAAATGGGATGGATATTCTCCTGTCCTTTTTACATTTCATCAGCAAAAATCTGAGTCTTAGAAAGTTCCTGCCCTGAACCATAAATATGTGTTCTTCCTGTCTCCTCACCATTAATTTTCTCTCCTTAAATTTTCATTCTGTGTCTTGGAGGTCACTTATGACCAAAGACTCCAGTGCAAGGAAAATTACTTTATTCCTGATTACCTTGATTTCTTTTTCTCTGCCCTTGGGACTATGTATCCCTTTCTTTGAGAAGATCCCCCTCTCTTTATTTTYGTTTTTATATTCTTTTAATGAAAACCCACTTATTCTCTGACTTCTCTTTTACCAKCTATGGGGAAAATAGGATTATACCYTAACCCTGCAGATAACTGAAAATAATGACCCAAAAAATTGGGKTTTTCATTATTAAATACAGTGATYTTTAGTATCTGYAGAATAGTGGATCCTTAGTAAGAGCTCAATCATGCTTTGCCTGGGTAGATTGCTAAGAATTGAAATCCTCTTCTGAGCAGTA